ATTTTTCTTTCATTGCTTGAGTTAAATTATAACGAGCATTCTAATAAGGCTTCATCCCGCAGTGAATGCTTTTGGACTCTCAAGACGTGTTTTTGTTTGCTTTTCACAATGTCCGCTCTCCTGTCGTCTCTCAGTCTCTCACAGTCACACATACAGCACAATGTCAGGGGAATGTCTTTCAATTCTAATCAAGGAAAGATACCTTCTGTTGTCTTCTTTTTAAAGGGGTCATATGATGCGATTTCAAGTTTTCCTTTCTCTTTGGAGTGTTACAAGCTGATTGTGCATAGATAAGATCCCTGAAGTTGCAAAGACTAAAGTCTCAAATCCAAAGAGATATTCTTTATCAAAGTTAAGACTCTGCCACACCCCCCTAAAACGGCTCGTTCTAACACACCCCACATATCTACTGTTTTTTGAACATTAAAGCATGTCAACATATTCTGTTACACCAAATACACAAAATAATGCCCTTTAAAAAAAGCATCATATGACCCCTTTAAAGAACTTCAAAAGTTGCGCTTGAACCATTTTGTATGAAAAATGATGAAAATTTGTTTCAGCTTGTGCGCAGCTTGTTACAGTATCGAGGTCTGATTGGCCAGTTGACGTCATTTAGTTCGTAAATTATCATATGAAGATAATTTTAACATTTCATTTGCATGATAAATTTTACATAATGCACGAAATTAATAATCTAAATGGAATGGTAGGGGGATGGTGGTTTTACAGTGGGGATGCTTTTTGTAATTTTTTTTTTCAACAAGAGGGATGCCATCCCCCCGCATCCCCCCTCAATTCGAGCCCTGGCCATAGGCGAATAAATACAGGTGAATATAACCATGACGGGTCACTAGGATGGCACATTTAACGTTAATGGATCGCCAGGCAGGTGTACAGCAGTGACAGGCAGACACATATAACGGTGTCCTGTATGGAAAGATGTTTCCCAGCTGACAGCTGTCCATTTTCACCTATAAAAGTGAACAGAACACTGAGCATCGGCAGCTAATGAGTAGGGATGGGTATCGTTAAGGTTTTAACGGTATTACTACTCTTACCGATACTGCTTATCGATTCGGTACTTTAACGGTATTCTTATCGGTACTTTTGTTTTATATATATATATATATGACAAATTCAGAGCTGAATTAACATTGCTTTATATTCTGAAATGTAAAATAAATATTTAATGAAATGAATATAAAACATAAATTTGTAAATGCACCAGTGTGCAGGCATTTTTAGTGTTTTATACATAAGATAAGATACAGTAAGAACATGAACAAAGAAACAAAGTAAAACAAACTGACAAATACAATAAAACAAATATACAAATCAAATGAAATAAACAGTGCTGTCATTTTTCCATGAAGTTCTACTAACATTACTGTTCAGGTAAGTAATAGCCTACAAAAGAAATCTAAAAGTAATCAAATGTAAATGAACACTGCATAGTTTTCAGTGTATGTATTGATAGATTAATGCTTATTAAAGCTATAACGTTACTCAGATTAAGAGCAGATCTGCATTTTGATGGCCCAAGCGCAAGTCTGTCACTTTAAGACAATATATTGACACACATCGGATTTTCTCCCAACTGTTCTCCTCCACTTAAGACATAAACTGTGTTTAAGTAAATACTCTCCAAGCCAGCCATTTTGACATATTTTTGTGTGTATTTGATCGATTGGACATGCGCCCGAAGCTCAAAGTGTAATTTGTTTGTCCGTTTTGGAGCATGCCGCGCGCACACATTTCAGCCTGAGGAACAGCGTCTCTTGTGCAGATTGTGCTTTCAACGGGAAAGAAGTTGCGCAATACGAAATGCAGCTAGTTTTTAATAGCTTTACCTCATGTCTTCTTTTGTATAATCCTTAGAAGCCAAAATCGAAATAAAAAAAATTAAATTAGCTTAAAACCGCCACAGGCCTAAAGTGTAAGCAGATGTTTGAATGTTTAGTTCTCTCTTCTATCATAATTAAACAGGGCTTTCATGTTGCGCGTGCTGAAGCTCCTCCGCGTGGGCGCGATCTCGCTTCTGAATTGTGAATAGCAAAAATGCATCATAGACAAATGTTTGAAAAACAGCTGGCGACTCTGGTGAGATAGAATTTGCAAGATAATGTATATATAGCAATAATAACTTTAAGTGTGTTTTATTGATTTCTCCAGAACCGATAGCAGAACCGTTAACGTCAGAGCTTATCGATACTCCGGTCTTTCATAATTTAGCCCCGGGACTGATTAAATACCGGGTTTCGGTAACCATCCCTACTAATGAGGCTCGTTGGGAGTGACGTCACCGCCCCTCTTCATCTGATTGGCTAGAGGAGGAGCGGTCAATCTAGAACTAGAGGACCAATGATGATGCTTAAAGCCCGCCCTGATTTACATGAAACTGTAACCGCAACATTTGGAAAAGCAAGCGCAGAACGTGGAAACAAGAGCGAAGGGAAAAACAACATAAGCATACAAAAAATAAAAATATGAGCAGAAAATGTCTGAGAGTACAAAATACAGAGAAATATAACCAAGGAAAACATGATTTTGTGCGCAACTCAGACAATTTTGCATTAATATTTCAATTTTTGATTCATGCTTATTTTTTTAAAATGCGTTATTAATTTTTTGATTTACGCTTATTTTTCAATCTGTGACCATTGTTTGCTATTCTGAAAACTTTGCTTTCGTTTTTAAATCTTGTGCAATATATTTTTACTTGCGTTTTTAAATTTTGTTTTCACGCTTGTTATTTTTTATCCGTGACTGCAATACTTTAGACGGGAATCTGATCCCATACTCCACCACAGTTTGAGAAAAAAAAAGTTAGTCAAAAGGCCGCGAACTCGGGTCGATCGCGTCAAAAAGCACGCACTTTACCATGATATTTTTACTTGCGTTTTTAAATTTTGTTTTCACGCTTGTAATTTTTTTTATCCGTGACTGTAATACTTTAGGCAGGAATCTGATCCCATATGGTATGGGTTAACATGTTAAATAAAATGCTCTTTTTTTGTCCAACCGAAAATGTGCCTGGAGTCCACCTTTGTTATTATAACAAACTACACTTTCAATGTGATTTTAAACCATTCAAGTCAAGAAGACTCGCGGGCTGTTTTCTCTGCTGCACACACATCCTTGTGTAAGTGTTCTTTAGCCTGTTGATTTTCATTCACAGTATTCAGCTAACTATGAAATATTTTGCAATAAGATGATATCTAAGATTTTTTATTTACTTATTTATTATTATTTTACCTTATTGGAATCGAAATTAGGAATTGACAAGAATTGGAATCATTAAAATTCAAACGATGCCCAACCTCACCTATACCCCACATTATTTTTTACTGGCACCTTTATTCACACTGTTTTAGACCCTTTCTTTTCTTTTAAAGGGGTCATATGATGTTGCTAAAAAGAACATTATTTTGTGTATTTGGTGTAATGAAATGTGTTTATGCGGTTTAAGGTTAAAAAAACACATTATTTTCCACATACTGTACATTATTGTTTCTCCTCTATGCCCCCCCTTTCTGAAACACGTCGATTTTTACAAAGCTCATCGGCCTGAAAAGCGAGGTGTGCTCTGATTGGCCAACTATCCAGTGCATTGTGCTCGCCAGACAGCAGATCCGTAAACGAAACCCCGGATACAAACAGTTTGCGGGAAAATGACACTCGTAACACTCTTGTATCATTATTAATTTATTTAATATTCAATGCATAGTGATTAATTGAAAAACAAGGAGGCCACAGCCTCATGAAAAAAATAAAAATAAAACGTGAACACTGCGGTTGCCGCGGTTTCTGCGGTTGCTTTCCTTCCTCTGCGGTTTGCTCGTCAATAGCGCGGTATTACAATATTGCGGTTATCGCGACAGTTGAAACAGTTAGCTTCTGTGGTTCCATGTTGCTCCTTATCACAGTGAGACAGAAAATATGTGACACATGGGCGTCACTAGGCCATTTTTAGGGGGGCTATAGCCCTATAATTCGTGATCGCCTCTGTCCCCTTTAAATTTCATATGAAAACGGCAGTAGACTTCGATCGGCTCCTTTTCAATCCGCAGACCGTGGCGGCGCAGAACGAGAAACAGAGGACAAGGTGTGTAAGTGTTTATCGATAGATTGTTATAATATCTGCATCTGTGCAGATCTTTGTCATAAATACAGTTTACAAAATATCATGTATATTATACCCTCATTGGGGGCTGAGCACCCCTAAAATGAAAATCCTGGAATCGCCCCTGCTGTGATACAAGCTATGTCAATTAGCATTGCATTGCAATTGTGTTTATTGTCTTCCACGTTTCATCAGTCAAAGCGTCTCTATCTGCATGTTATTCAGTATAGTCTAACATCATTTTATAAAGAAAGTGCATTATTTAGAAAGTGTTGGCTATAGATCTTAAGCTGTGCACTGGATAGTACGTTTTTATCTATTACAATTTGCTTTTAAATCATACTTTGCAGGGAAGTATGATCAGCTCTGTTTAACCGCAACACATCAACTGACAGACTTTTTCGACTTTTTCAACGTTTTCAACCTTAAATTGCCCACAACTTGATTCAATTGAAGTCATCAAATCACAAAAATTCCGTGTTTGTTCAAAGGCATATCTAGTCTAGGCCTAAATTATAGGTTGCGTGTTCACCTTGGTGTTGACAAAATATATTGCAGAGTTACAGCCACTAATTCATAACACTAATAACATTCACCGTTATTAATTATCAAAACCAAGAGATTACGCTGGAGGAATTTATCAAGTGTCTTTATAGGTACCACAAAAATCTAAACCGATTCAAAAAATCAAACGGCAGCTGAGAGCAAATGTATCTTGTTTCCTGACTCTCCCAGTTAGAGAAAAAATGGCAACTCACTCGAGAACCCGCACACTACGCGTACACTGCCCAACTAAAGGCAATGTGTTGCAAATTCGAAACACTACGGTCAACGTGAATCTCAAAGCAACTATAAAGAATATAAAAGTTACTCACCAAATACCGTGGGATACTTCCAAAAACTAACCGTCAGTGGTTGTGTCAGTACGTGTGCGCGTCATCATACACGCCAGCATAGATAACGTCACTATATGGCAAGCCATATTAACATTTGAACAATTTGAATTGTTTTCTATTGGCAGTGAGCAATGCGTGCTGTTTATGCGCCTGGGCACCTCCTGTTTTAGCAGCCTGCTGCACCTCACATTTTTGTAGGAGCGCTCTCAGTGCCTGAAGTAAAAAAAATCAACTGAGCAGAAACCCTGCTGTTTCTAACACAGGTTGTGTCCGAAATCGCCCCCTATACCCTCATTTACTATTCCCTACATTAGGTCACTAATTCAGTTCACTAGAAGGAGTGAATGAAAACGAGTGAGTGAATTCGGACAATGAGTGCACCGGAAGGACTGCCGCTTTTGCATTGTTGGTGCTTGCTGTTTGTTAATCATTTGAAACTGGCAAACTAGCAGCTCCAGTAGTAAGATTAAAGGATTTATCTTGAACTATGTCACGGAAATTATGTATAAACCCTAATCAAACAATTTAATAATCAATTTACAATGAATTTATACCTGTGTTGTATTATGCTGTACGCCATGGATGAGCACTTTGCAATATGAACGGATTGATTATTCAGCTGTGAGCATCATCTTCTGGCGAGATGCGGGAATTCATTCGGCGCGTGACTCTCACGGTGCATTATGGGCAATTTGGGCATTCTCTAGCCGTTGAGCGTGCACCAGTTGTACACTCGTTTTTGCAGTGCATTGTGGGATTGAATGAGTGCACTCGAGAACGTCCACTATGGTTTCGGACACCACTAAAAATGGCTGTTCCCTCAAATAGTGCCCTATTTAAGGGTATAGGGGGCGATTTCGGACACAGCCCAAGTTTACCTGTCGGAGAGCAGCAGGCAAACAACAAATGATAAAGGACTTGGTCTTGTAAGTATCTGTGTTTTCGTTTTGATATGTGTTCATTATTTATCTATATTATTTGTTATCATGT